AACTATATTCTGTATAAACAAAGAAGAGGGATACTGCCGCAAATAGATGAAATTGTGGAAAGACGGAAACAGTATTTTAGCGAAATTCTTAATGGTAACAGCCACGAATAATTGATTTATGTATGGCTGTTGTAGAAAGTTTGCAGAAAATTGAAGATATATTTAAAGATTTAAAATAAAACAAGGGTCCGAGAGATAATGGTAAAACAACTGAACTATTTACAAAATATTGATGATCTCGTAAATGTTAAAATGTACTCACTTATTAGAAATTTTGGATGCAAAAAAATGCTTGAATAAAACGGTGCCATTTCCACTATTAAAGAAAGAAGACGCTATGATTTTGGAAAACTATATATCTGAATATTGCATATCAAATTCTATCGTAACCAATAAGAACAGACTTAGTTATTGTGATAATAGTTCATGCCGATTTTACACGTTTTTTAAAATACTCTCCTGGTGACCTAAACATGGCGGACTGTAAGCCATAGATCCAGAATTCATGTGTAGACTGATTCCAATAATCATTATCTCCGCTGTCTTGTTTTACTGATGGTAGAGCTGCTGATTTGAAGTTCAGGTGGTTAATTCAAAGTTCACATATTACTCATCATAGTATATTAGCTTTAAAACCGTTTTAAAAATTCAACATCAAAGTACCACAAAAACCTTTAACGAAAACATATAAATTTTACAAGTTTTAAGTAAGAATTTGCCTAGAAAAACCATTCACTTGTTACTTGAACAAAATTGAAAAGCTCCCAATAGCGGTTGGTACTTAACAACATGACATACATTCCTCGAGATATAAATATTTATTTAACGTGAGAAAGACTCACCCTCTGGCTAAAATTGACGTCTTGTTGCTTTTTATATAAATCCAACAGTAATTCAAATGATCTTGAAGCTTGGTCAAATGGCCTTTCTAAAGCAGGAAATATTACGTCAGAAATTGTGACTGCATTCCGTTTAAAATCGTTTTATTTTTTGTACGTGCGAGAGAAAGATGCATCAGGCAAGCTCTGACTGCCAAACCAATCAATCAATTAATAAATTATTAACTAAACAATTAATCCATTTAATCATTAATAATAAAACTTTAGCTATTAAAAATTAATACAAAATAAAAACCGTTTTAAAATTAACCTTTTTAAGAAGTTAGGTTAGGGTGTTATTATTTGCTAACGATTTGTTTGTTGCTAAGTAAAAATATAGAGTATAAAACTATACCAAATGTAGAATAACTTTGTATATGTTTAAAATTATCTACCGACTAATAATAATGCTAATCCAATTTTTTACCATACTCAATTTTTGATGGCTGAAAATTTATATTTTTACCAAATATACATGATAACAGATTTATCATCAAATATAAAATAATATAATACGAACATTTTAATTAGTTTACGTTCATTAAAACCATACAATGAATCTGAATATAACATACCATATAAATAAATGTATTTCTATAATAATATATTTCGAGTTAGGTACATGCGATTTCACTAAAAATTATTTTAATTTTCCATTTCAAAATTATTTATATTATTTCATTAGGAATATTAAAAATTAGTAACAGAGTTCACTCAAATTCTCTATTGTATTAAATTTACTGGCATTTGCGGGTTGTGAACAATGAATAATAATGTGTTTTGAATAGTTTTTTAATCAAGTTGATGGTTGTGAGAAATCATTGTTCGGCATACTTAATAGTTAAAAATCAACAATAAAACCAATAATTAATTCGCAGCCATCACGAGTAAACTAACAAGAAAGTAGTTGAGAATAATTATGATTTTTTAACACATGGAACCAACTGCTTCATCGTATAGGGTTCAAAAAAATTGTCTAAAATTATTAATAGGTTGATAATTTAATAGTTTTTTTACTGATAGATACTTAAAAGTTATTATACTAATTTTTACAAAATTGATTTACTAAATTTGTTTTATACAGGGTGATTCATTAAGAGCGGAGACCGGCCGTATCTTAAAATAGAATTTTTTTTTTTTTAAAGAATCGCAAAAACAAGTTGATTTTTATTTTAAGGGGGACACCTTTCTTTAATATTTTCAACTGTCATACGTCATTCCTCTCCCCTCCCAAGTAACAGATTTAGAAGACACTGATAAAATATTTGAATCCGCAAGATAGCCTTTAGGTTCTTAGGAGTCAAAGTCCGTAACAGTATATTAAAAATTTTATTAAAACATTTTCAAATCTTTTTTAAGATTATGATAATAAGTGGGATAAGCATAAAAACTACAAAACTAATCAGTTTTAAGAGAATTAAATTTTAAACTGTTTTACCTTTATTCTGTTTTATCATACTCTCTGACAATCATTTTGCAAACATGTTGGGAAGACTGCCATATTAGAAATTAATTATTATATAGTGTGTTTAATTTGTTTGGTTACACTCATTTCCTCAAATTAAACACACTCCAAAGTACTGGAAAATTGGGAAAGGTGGGTCGTAATAAATGATAGACCTTACAATACATGAAATATATGTAAAAAATAGATTCTATGGATTCTACTAAAGTTATTTAATATAAAATAACATTGTAAATATAGTATAAAATGATTACATTTGTCTTCGATATGTTTTTGATATAAAATATAACATTTTGTATTTTTCAAATTATTTCATGGAAGTGACTATTTAAGCGCCAATATAAATCCTATTGTAGATTTTTCTTTGCAGGGATACTTGTCATCGTCAGAAAACCATTTTCAATTGCGCATACTACCTACTGGACTATCAGAAACAAACTTTGTGTGTAGGCGAAGCAAGAGTTCTATAACATTATATTATAGTATGTTCCAATATAAATTACATAGATATATTTGACATGTGGTTAAACGCAGTAAACGCAATCATAAATAATATATCTACTGTCATTGACAAATTGTTGTCATTGACATACTATCACTGTCTTTGGTACACAAATTACGTCATTACTAAAATCGAAATATTTTAGATTTATTTGAACTTTGACCAAAATTTATTTTAATATTCAAAAGTTACTTATTTGAATATCTATTAGCTACAGGTCTTATTTATTATTTCGGCCTTTACTTGATGAAAATCCATTTAATTTTGAAAGAGTAAAACCAAATTTGGTAGATTTTCACACTTTTATTTTAAAAATAAAATTTTTTAAAAAAACCCTAACATGACATATGTTTCGAAGTACAACTTCTTTTTCAAATGTGACTATTTACAATTCGGTATCCAATATATATACGAAATAATTTAACAAAACAAAGTACTTAAGAAAACATCAATAACATTACAAAATAAACTAACTATTTAAAGTAAATAAGGGTACTTAGGTAATTATAATATCCATCAAATAACAATAAGATAGCCCATTACCGGGATTATCTCACAGAAAACTGGGAAAGAGATTTAATAAGGGTGAATTATTAATATCTAATTGATCATTTAGTAAGTTATCTGAATTTTTAAATCTATTTATTTCAAGTGTTTCTAAATGGTTTAATTTAAGGCCTTAAATTTTAATTTTCTACTTTACTGATCATTTCCAGAATATTAGGAGTTTCAGAATGTTTCTTTGTTATTTGTTAAACAATGGCACACAATGAATTTGTTAAATACTAACTAGAAGGAGAAACATATACATTTTTTTTTTTCATTCTCTATGGAAATTACCTCTTTTCTTTATTTTGAGCAATTTATCTTTCAACGTCAACATAATGTGACTGGGTTGAAAATCTAAAACAAACCTTAGTTCTTATTAAAACTATGTAGTTTTAAAAGAGCCATATCGTTTACTAGATTAAATAAATTATAAGATTTATGTTGTAAAATTTTAGAAAATGTACCTAAAAGGTTCGGGTATCAATTTAATTTAAAGTATAATCCTAAAACAATTTTTAAAACCTACCTAAAATAACGACTAAAAAGTGTGCTTCTTTAACACCAAACACACCTTAGGAGTATCTTCAAACTAAATAGTTCTAAAATTACTTAATAATTAACCCTTACAGGGCAGCGATAAGGCATGGTTTACCTTAGGATAAACTAGTTTTCTTAATTAGATTTAAAGGAATCTATAAAACCAAGTAATAAGATCAATTTATCCTGCAGTCCTATTAGTAAAAAAAAACTGTAATAAAATAATTATTAATTTTTATGCTTTTACAAAATCCTAATAAAACATAAATAAAACTCTTTTCTCCTATAAATGTTACTTGGGCTACGTCAATCTAACCAATACAATTTAAATTGGGAAAGTACCAAGTATGACACAGCGGAAAGGTAATTTTATGAAGAATTCATTGCATTCCTTTTAATTTTAGAGCCCTCTAGCGGGGTAAAAAATTATTACCTATGGTAAAGTGTGACACTTCCTTTGACAGCTAATTTTATTAGTAATCCAATGCACTATAATATTAACCTAGTTATCTCCATATTGCACTTGCAACAAAATAAATTTAGTGATAATGCATTCTTTTTTCTTTTAAGTTCATTTTTGATTTAGTTAACATATTATTACGTAGTGCATTAAATTACTAATGAAATTAGCTTTCCCTATTTAAATTGTATTGTTAGATTGACGTAGGAGAGCGGAATGACATATGACAGTTGAGGATATAGAAAGGTGTCCCCCTTGAAATAAAAATCGACCTACTTTTGCGTTTCTTTCAAAAAAATTCTACTTTAAAATATTCTGAGATACGGCCGGTCGCCACCCTTAATGAATCACCCTGTATAAAAAATGTTATCAATCAAATTTGTTTAATATTACCATAACCGGAACCTGCATCCTAGTTGATGTAAAATATAGACAAAACTAGTTTTATTAGTCCTAAAAACAGTATAATCGATTTTGAAGTACCATTACATATTCCGTAAATGAGTTTTAGGATAATTTACAAAGATGAATTTCTTATTGGTTTCGTAAAACTCAATCCATTGATATAAAGTATTACGTTTATATTAATAATTCGTTATTTTGTTACAGGTAAAAGTGTCAGATATGGGAGATCCTCCAAGGCATAACGTCTGTAAAGTTATAGTGCATACCGTACCAATTCTTTCGACGTCGAAACATCCACCTGTAATCGTTAAAAAACCCCTTCCTGTTAAATTAACTGAGAGCGATGATATAGGACTTCTAGTCGCTTCTATTTCAGCCAGTGATCCAGACAACGATACCCTTTGGTATGATATTGTTGGTAAGTGTAACTTTGTTTCTACTTAAATTGTATTAAAACTATTCTGAATATATATGCATGCATGAAGTATAATTTAAATATTGAAGAAATCATACTACACGTACGCATATTAATCAGAATGGTTCTTTACTGCTATTGGGACGAACCTATAGTCTAGGAAGCAAAATGTTACCTAATATTATTTCCTTATTATTTATTTCAAAATATTTCTTTACGTATTTTATATAGGTAGGCAGCTTGAAAGCTTTAGAACAATTTTTTTAACGAATATAATGTAGTGTTTTAATAAAATGCATGTATTATGTATACAGGGTGTTCCAGCTTTTAGTTTACAGTCCAATTTGACGATGAATCAAAAAAATATTTATTAGAATTTGATTTTTTCGTTTCTTGGAAAACGTTTTTGACAGTTTTCTGTTTTCATCCATGATAGGTTGAATCTTGGTTTTTTCGTAAATAGTTTGTGGGATTTCCTGGATGTCACATCTTGGTAATTATTCTAAGTGAAGAAGTTTCGGCCAGTTGAATGTTTTTTAATGCAGGTATAGCAAATATTAACAAATATTAAGAGATATTAGTAAGGTATTTTCCCAATGTGACAATTATATCAAACTTAATTGACAACTTCAATTACTTAAAAATTAAAAGTAACCATCCTCAGACAGGCCAGTTACTAGCTATGTAGACTAGCTTCTACACATATGTTCGGCAGTTTAAATAAATAGTGTGGCCATATTCCAAGATAGGTCTACATATTGTTTTGTAGATTTAAGTGGGCATGTAGGTGTTAATACCTTCTTTTTGGTATGTTAAGGAACGGAAACGTTTGAAGTTCAGCTTAATATGAAGAACAAGGCATAGGTATTTTACTAAGGATATGGGATTAATTGGATTTAAGTTTTTTTTCACAATTTGCTATAGAATCGGTTCCGATCCTGGACCGGAGCTTCTCTGATTTGATAGTATTTAAAAGTATTTGTTCTCCTCGAATTCTATGTTATCTTTATTATTTCTTAATAAACATCATTTAAAAATATACGCTTCCATTTTAAAACAAAGTTAATCTTTAAATGACCTTAAAGGTCACGAGTAAACGAAAATTAAAGTACATTTTGTAGACTTTATAAGTTCAACTTACCTTTACTTGAAACTGCTTCTGCTAAATATATAGAGTATCAGATATTAAACTAAAAACAGAAACATATTAATAATTACACTTTCTTAATATAGGTACGTGTACTTAAAGAAGTAAAATTTGAGTAGAGAGGTCATGTACAAATCTAAATTAGACACTTAGTCATAATTAGATGGACAAAACAGTTATCGTCATTTGCGTTGTTGCCAAATATTGTGTCGTGCTCAAATTGGTGTCATTCTTTTTTTGACATCATACATTCTTGCTCTTAATTTTTATACATACTTTAATAACACCCTGTATTTAAAACGATTTTCAACATGTATCTTATAAATAATATTGTCTTCCAATTTAATGTTTAATTACATGTTTCTGGAATGACTGGATTAAAACAACTTCTACAACAACTCTAATTAAACTTCTTATAAATCTTTTGTTTCTTAACGGCCCTTATCCGTTATTTCATCTTACTTCCTTGCACATCGCACTAGATTATTACGGTTAAGTGATCATAATTCTGCATTGCACTGTAGCATAGTGTGCAGAAAAATGAGTGTTTTCAAACTTTAATTGTTAATTTTGTTAAAGCTATCTTTATGCCATTGTACAATGCTGAAATAATGTGTAAAGAATTGAATGTGTTAACTTTTAAAAGGGTTATTAAGATTATAATCTTTTAGTTGGAGATAAGCTTGTCTTTTACAGGGGGTAATACAGAATTAATTACATTTTTAGGATCTATTAAAGTTATTTCTTTAACTTTATTGATTTCGCTATCTATTTAACATTTGAAATAACTATATTAAAAATGCTCGTGCAGATCAAGTTTTAATCTAAAAAGTACATCTTTGCAATCAAAATTTGAATATATAGGGTGTGATTCATGTACATGCAGTAATGGATAGGTGGCCAGAGAAGCTAGCTGCGAAATAAGTATGTAAGTATCCACCTTCTCGCAACAGTTAAACAGTGAGGTTTCCGATCTTGTCTTGAATAGGTGTCGGCTGGGATATTCTATGCTACCATGGGACTTGGCAAATTAGCGTTTAACAATCGATGACGTGGAATGAATGACAGTGAATGAGAAATTAGTAGGACTTTCAAATGGTGGGCACCATAAGCCGCAGGATTAGGGTGATAGCAGAGGGACACGAAAGGGTGAAAAAATAAACGATTTTTATTAAATGTATACTTTTATATTTTTCTCCTTGATCTGCTGAATTTAATGACCTTTAGTACTTACAGTATACATTTTAAAGGCAATATTTTCAAAGGTTTTAATAAAAACGCATAAGTAGATAAAATGAACATCATTCAAATAAAAGCCACATTCTTAGGTAACAAAAAAAAAATTAAGGGACGTCAGGAAATACATATTAATGGTTACAGTGTAAACCAGGGGTCTCCAACCTCTGGCTCGCGGAAAAAATCTGACCCGCGAACACATTTTCCCCGGCCTGCGGGAAACTTACAAAATAAAAAAATAAATTTATTGTACATTGCAATGATTTGGTTTTATATCATCCTGCGTTTTCATTAGGCCTACTTGGAGACTCCTTCTACTCATTTTTGTGGCAAAAAATAATTTTAATTCAGTTTTCTGAACTATCCTAATTTTTATTAGTTTACCTAATGGTAAATTAGAAGTTTATGACATAAATACCTATTAATGGGCATTTAAAATAATTTTTGGTATCTCAATTTATTTCAACTCAACTTTTACAATAACTATGCAACTGATAACATTAATGTATAACGTCAACGTCTATGATAAAACTGATCAGTGACGTCAGGATCATCGATTTTTAGAGCTTGCTTTCACTTTCTCGAACCTTCTCGAACTGTCTAGATTTTTCTTGACGTGGAATGACATTTCTCGAATATTCCCTCTTCTTTTTTTATTTGTACCTTTACTTATGAAGACCGCAGCATGCTGAAATTTTAAAAGAAAGTAGGTAGAAATCAGTAAAAATGGTCTTATTTATAGTCCATAACTTTGTTTTTATGAATAGAAAAAACAATATTTAAGTTAGCTAATAAAAAAGATATACAGGGTGTTTCAAAAAGGTATGTCATAAATTCTTCCTCAGATAGATTTGTGGATTAGTGTGGATAAGTGGATTTGGCTATATTTACCTATATAAAAAACTGGCTTCCAACAAAGTTACAGGGCGTTAAATTAACATTCAAAAAAACGTTTTTTATTTGTAAAAATTTTTCTGTTGCGATTTTTTCTTTGAATTTCTTAACCAAATTTATATGGGACCACCCCTGAGGTACCCCCTTACTAACAAAAAAATAATCATATAAATCGGACAAGGTGGTAAAGCATTAGCGCTAAACATACATAAAAAATTAGGAGTTTGAGGATATTCTCATGGACCCAATTATTAGATTTTGACCAAATTTATATGGGACCACCCCTGAAGTCCCCCTTCCTAACAAAAAAAGAATCATTGAAATCGGCCACCGTGTTGAAGAATTATCGCTGAACATACATAAAAAAAAATATCGCGACGAATTGAGAACCTCCTCATTTTTTGAAGTCGGTTAAATATACCCAAATCCACTTATTTTTTTGTAATCTATCTGAGGAAGAATTTATGACATACCTTTTTGAAACACCCTGTATAAGGAAATCTCAAAAACTGCCACTGAGCACTTAATTAAAAAAAAACTTCTTGGGTGTATAGTGGGACTAGATGGCTAGGACTAGACCATCTGAACTGAAATATTGTTGGATTGTGGGCCCGCCTTGCCTCCAAAAATTTACAATGTGGCCCTCTGGTAAAAAAGGTTAGAGTTCCTTGATGCAAGTTGAACTGTAAACTCAAAAATACAAAAGTATACAAAATACTTCAAGTACCTTTATATTCAAATTTTGATTTAAAACACGAACCATTTTGAACATATTCTTAAATAACGCCAAAAATAATTTTGTCCACGACTGTTCTATAAAACATTCATTATACTTGTACTTCCTTAAGAATAATAATACCTATTAATCCATTAGTCACGGTATGACGTCACGACAGCACGTATGTCTAAACTGATATGAAAATATTCTTTATAGGTAATCGAAAAATCGAAAAAAAATCGAAAAAAATCGAAAAATCGAAAAAAAAAAAAACGAAAAATCGAACAAAAATCGAAAAAAAATCGAAAAATCGAAAAAAAATCGAAAAATCGAAAAAAATCGAAAAGAAAACGAAAAATCGAAAAAAATAGAAAAATCGAAAAAAAAAATCGAAAAATCGACAAATCGAAAAATTGATAAAAACGAAAAATCGAAAAGTCGAAAAAACAACAGTTAGTTACCTATGTTTAATAAAAACTTTCCATTCTACACTTAACTTTTATTTAATAAAGAAACCATAATGGTCGTGGACAAAGTATAGTATTAGGCTCGCAATTTATGGCCATTTTTCACTTGGGTGACTAATGGCTACCATAAATTGCTCGTTTAATAATATACTATTATTCCCTAGTTACTTACACATTATACCTCGCATTATACATAATAATTGTTTTATTTTTTATTCAAGATGTTGCACATACATGCATTTGACCGATGTTATTAGTTTTTCCAGATCTTTTGATATTTTTTTAATCAAAATCTTGTTTTTGTTCTCGTGTTTTAGTTTAACAATTATCTACAAGCAATATTCCGTATAACATTATTTCGTTGTTTTTGAATTAAATATGGGTTAAAGTTTAACAATTTTTATTGGGTAATAGAAAAACAATCGTTGGTTCAGATCGTATCAGTTTTTGAGAAAAGCGATCCAGGATTTTTCAATAAAGCATCGATGTTAAATTGTTGCCAAAGGAAAAGCTCATGTTCATAGGGCTAGGATAGATAGAAGGTAAAGCGTTAGATAGAAAAGTTGTTACATACCAACCACAAAAAAAAACTACTAGATAATTAGGCCCTTATTTATTGCAAGTATTCAGATTGTGTATTAGGCAGACATATGGCGCAAGAAATCGAATCAAAATTTTTTTAGTATTTACAACTCTATGAAAATGGATTTATCAATTAATAAAAATGATATAATTAATTGTAAAATCCCATTGAAATTACAGACAATACTTCATAAAATTATACTTATACTAACACATTACAGTGAAAATGTTTAACACTTTGGCTCAATTACTTATATCTTTAATTTTGTTTATAGCTTTCAAAAATACTTCACTCACTCATTCAAAATTTTATATCTTTTCTTTCACTTTTATCTCCACTCTTTCCTTTTGAAACATCCTTTAATTTTGCATTATTTTCGCACATTCACCATTACCAGATTTTTCCTTTTCTTCTTGCTTCTTTTTTCACTTTTATTTCCATTTCATTTTTATTTTATGTTAGTTTTCCATACATTTTCTGTATTTGTTTTACTTTTATTTTACTACTTTTAATTCTATTTATTATTTTGGTATTTTTCCTATCCTCCTGTATATGTTTTAAATTTTCCCTACTTTTATTTTTATTATTTATAATGTCTTTACGTTTCTTCGTCTTAGCCCTATATTGTTTCGTTTTCCTTTATATTGTTTTCTATTTTTCCCTTGACATTGTTTTTTGTTTTCTTTAATTTTGTTTCTCATTACTCCTTTTAATTCTTTAATTTTCTTTTTTTTTTTCTGCTGCTTTTATTCATATTTACCTCCTTTACCTGTTTTTCTTCATTAACTCCTTTTTTCTTTAATTACTTCTATTGTTATCTTTTTATATCTTTTTCATTTATTAGTTTTATTCCTATTTACTTCTTTTTTAACTTCATAAATCTGTTTTATCCATTAACTCCTTCTTCAGTTACTATTTTTATCTCTTCTGTTTTTATCTTTACATCTTTTTCTTGTACATCTATTTTTCTTCATTTATTTCTACACTTTTATTTCCTATTATTTATCTTCAATGATATTGTGAGTTTCTAATTCTTCTTTTATTTTCTTCATCTTCTATCTCACCAATCTCATATAGAAGCTTCTTTGCATTTCCATCTAACTTCTTTGCGACTTATCGTTTATCTTTTTCCATTCTTTCTCTCATTTCTCGTCTATCTTCGTCCATTCTTTCTCCCATTTCTCGTTTATCATTTTCCATTTTCATTATTAATATCTGAAACATGTCGATATTTGCTAAAGTAAAGCAAAAATTGAGTTTTAAGATAAAAAAAAGCATATTTAAAAATAAATTTATACAAGTCCAATATTTAAAAAATATATTATGTATAAGGTAGTTAGCTATCAGACTGCTACTTATTCCAGAATACATCATTGTGTCCCTTACATTATGTAGAATATTATCTCTGAAACAGAAAACAAAGCATAAGTATAAAAATAAATGTAACAAGCAAATGTATTAATCAGAAACAATAAGTCAATATTAACTCAAAAATTAATAATGAATTAGAGCCAAAAGGGCATTGAAACGTAATAAGCAGTACTTAGGGAGGAATTAAAAATTGAAAACAATAAACATGCCTTAATCTTATTGAATAATAATGGAACGTTCTTTAATGTTTCCTAGTTTGTTTCAATTGTACATTTTATAACTAAATTACCTATTTGCAACAAAAATGACAATTATTTCAAAAATACTTATATCCAGCTTAGTATTTTTCTTTTTCTTTTTCATAGAGATGTTAATTTTTATTGTTTTTTTTTTAGTTAGATTCTTGAATGTTACAAAAAAGCAAGTTTAGCGGAACCCTTAAGTGATTCCCTGGATCACAGTTTAAGAAATGGTTTGCATTAATACATAAAATTTTAAAACTTACAAATAGTATATTTTGTCTTCAAACGTTTAAAGACAGAAGATGTAACTAATAACTTTGATCAACACATTCGATGTCTAAATCATTTGAAATTAAAGGCATTTCTTCCGCTGAATATTTTCTGTCCAAACTTTTAGTTTATTTGATGAGACAGAAGGTGTAACCAAATTACTATATGGTTTCTAAAGTAATTTGAAGGCAGTCCATCTGGTACACTTCCAGGGAAATAACACAAATTTATAATAACTAGATCAACTAAACAAATTGAAAACACAAATGAATGCAACCAAGTTATCAATATCAATAAATTCACAATATTCTTAATCTTTCTTTTTGGTTTCGCCATAAGACCCTGTCCACAATCCACAAAAATCAATATTCACCTCACATCTGTCATTACACTCCCACCCACCTTCCACCATACACGACGACAGCGCCCTCTGACGGTGGTGTTGTGTTGGATTAAAAACGTTACCCCAGTCTGCCCTATAGGAATTGGCCCACTGATTGTGATGTCAAAGACACTCAAAAAAACATATTTACCTGATGAAGGATTTGCCTATACAACCAATATGTTAGCCAACATCACATATACAGGGTGTCCCATCAGTGCGAAATTAATATAAAAGTTGTATAACTATTTTTAACAGTTTATAGGGTGGTCTACAGACGAGGTGCTGACCAAATCTATACTTTTTTAAAGCAAAATACCCTGCAGGTAGTTATATATATTTGATTGTTTTCACATCGTCAAATATTTTAAATGGAATATCCTATATGTTATACCACCAATTAATTAATACAGGATATTACATTTAAAAAAATTGAGAAAATCCTGACCTCCCGTTTTGACACACCATATATACAACATAAATGAATGAAATCAATTAAAATTGTTTGACGATGTAAAAACAATAAAATATGTATAAGGATGTTTTGCTTTTAAAATAGTATAGATTTGGTTAGCACCTCGTTTATCGTCCACCCTGTATATTTAAGAACAATTGTTAAATATGGTCATACATATATTAAAAATTTCTTCGTATTTCTAATAATAAAACAGCTATCTATCAATTACGCACTGATGGGACACTCTGTATACGTGTTATATTGATATCGTTGGATAGGTAAATTAATTTATGAGGAATTTTGTTCTAAAATAATATACAGGGTGTTGCATTTAAAAAAATTAATTAAATTGACCTAAAAAATAAGCCATATTTAAGACATGTTTCAAAAAACTGTATAAAATAAACCAGTTCAATCACCACTATTCGTTAGCTTAGTATCTTATAAGTCTTTATATTAAACAATTTTCAAATCAAGGTAAACCTACCTAAATTATGATAATTTAATATGGGGTCTGCTTCATTCTCTAATTTCAAAAAAATAATTGCTTGGCAACACTAATATTTTTTGAAAACATTCTAGGATTGAATACAGTATTACCAAACCATTCTAGAAATAAAATACAAGGTGATCTATGCCAGGCAAAAACGCAACACCGTGTATATCCAAAAATATTTTTAAAACTTTTATTTGAAACTTTATTGAACAATTACGAACTAATGATACACTTTGTATATTTTTACTTTTTGAAAGGCTGAATATTCATTATAATTCCAGTTAGAAATGCGGTGTTGGGAATTTAAAACAGTCCGTATTACCCAAAATCGTCTTTGAACGGTATACACCACAGCAGTTAAGATAAAAAGTTATTTCGAATGTCATAAAATATCCAGGTCCGTATTAAAAAAGAACGTTAAGGATGGTTCGGAGAATACGAAACGTTGCATGCAAAATCTGATAACATCAAATCAAAGATAATTTACTATTGAATGAAAAACCTCCTAAATATTTTTTGGTAATTCTAAACATAAATGAAGTATAGCCAAAAAAACGACATGATCAAATTTTGTTTTATCGTCATATCTCAAGAACCAGCCCTGATACTTTTGATTAGTTTCCACCGCTACTTCTTCACCCTTTAACCGACCTTCTAACTAGTATGGTTTGGAAGTTACCAATACAATCCCATTAAAAAAGTAGCCACCCTTTATGACCACCATAATTATGACCTTAATCTTTCTAAATATAATTTTGTAGTATGCTTACAGTTTTTTTAAATTCCAACTCATGACAATCCCAATCTTTGGAAAATACAACTCGTGGTTCACACGCATTGCATTTTCGTCGTTAACTAACAATCGTGACATTTATCGTTAATAATCTCACCAATAAAATTATACGATGTGGTAACATAGTAGACTAGGAATATCAATCTTATTCACTCTTCTTTCTTTCCCTAATGCATTCTTTGTCGCTTTTGTTCTATCCATAATATTAAGAAATTTATTTTCGGAATTCGTGTTCTATAACAAACAAAATAAACTTTACTTTTGTTCTAGATGGCAACGAGAGGAACGATTTCTTCATCGGTAGAGACATAGGCAATATCCTAATTGCACAACGACTGGATTACGAAACTCAAAACGAATATTCCCTTAATATCAGCATCACGGACTCCATCCACACAGTCTACACGCAATTAAATATTTCTATACTGGACATCAATGACAACCGGCCGGTGTTTTCCGAAAGTCTGTACAAAGTAGAGATATCCGAAGCCGTCCCACTTTATACTGAAGTTCTCAAATTACAAGCCACCGATAAAGATTCAAATGAAAACTTAATTTATAGTTTCCATTCCGCCGAAAATATAATCTCTTTGAGAACGTTCATGCTTAATCAAATGTCTGGCGTTATCTCACTAGCTGCTAGTCTAGACAGGGAGTCACTGAACGAGCATATTCTAACAGTGATGGTTAAAGATGGTGGTATTCCAGCAAAGAAAAACTTCGCTAGAGTCCACATCGTAGTCCATGATCACAATGATCACACTCCCACTTTTGCTGATAAAATACTAGTTGGAAAAGTATTCGAATCATCAGCTATTGGTAGCGCAGTACTTCGTGCTTACGCTGTCGACCATGATAAAGGCGAGAACGCGAGGATCTCCTACTCCATTACATCTGGAAATGTAGGCAACGTTTTTAGCATTGATTCAGAAATGGGAACCATAACTATAGCTCGAGAATTGGATTTAACATCTGTAAAAGAATACACTCTTCACATTAAAGCTACCGACCACGGCCAGCCTCCTCTGTTTTCTTCGGTACCAGCTCATATTATGATAACAATGGCTGATAACGCTCCACCTAAGTTTATGGCTAAAGAAATTGCTGCAGAAATTTTCGAAGATCAACCTCTCGGCAGCTACGTGACGCACTTAGAAGTGAGGAGTACTTCTTCGTTACAATTCGAGATTCTGTCTGGAAATGTTGAGAACGCTTTCGTTATTAGTCCGAGCACAGGAGTCATTACGACTAACAAGTATTTGGATTATGAAACTACCAAGTATTATAATTTATCTGTGATAGCTACTAATATGGTAAGTTGCAGTTTTATTTGTTTTTATACATTACTAGCTATTGCCCGCGGCTTTGCTCGCGACTTTGCTCGCATGTAGTCGTTTTATTATTATAAAAAAATACATGACTTCCTTTTTTATTAATTTTTATTAATTTTTATTAATTTTTATTAATTTTTATTAATTTTTATTAATTTTTATTAATTTTTATTAATTAATTTTTATTAATTTTTATTAATTTTTATTAATTTTTATTAATTTTTATTAATTTTTATTAATTTTTATTAATTTTTATTAATTTTTATTAATTTTTATTAATTTTTATTAATTTTTATTAATTTTTATTAATTTTTATTAATTTTTATTAATTTTTATTAATTTTTATTAATTTTTATTAATTTTTATTAATTTTTATTAATTTTTATTAATTTTTATTAATTTTTATTAATTTTTATTAATTTTTATTAATTTTTATTAATTTTTATTAATTTTTATTAATTTTTATTAATTTTTATTAATTTTTATTAATTTTTATTAATTTTTATTAATTTTTATTAATTTTTATTAATTTTTATTAATTTTTATTAATTTTTATTAATTTTTATTAATTTTTATTAATTTTTATTAATTTTTATTAATTTTTATTAATTTTTATTAATTTTTATTAATTTTTATTAATTTTTATTAATTTTTATTAATTTTTATTAATTTTTATTAATTTTTATTAATTTTTATTAATTTTTATTAATTTTTATTAATTTTTATTAATTTTTATTAATTTTTATTAATTTTTATTAATTTTTATTAATTTTTATTAATTTTTATTAATTTTTATTAATTTTTATTAATTTTTATTAATTTTTATTAATTTTTATTAATTTTTATTAATTTTTATTAATTTTTATTAATTTTTATTAATTTTTATTAATTTTTATTAATTTTTATTAATTTTTATTAATTTTTATTAATTTTTATTAATTTTTATTAATTTTTATTAATTTTTATTAATTTTTATTAATTTTTATTAATTTTTATTAATTTTTATTAATTTTTATTAATTTTTATTAATTTTTATTAATTTTTATTAATTTTTATTAATTTTTATTAATTTTTATTAATTTTTATTAATTTTTATTAATTTTTATTAATTTTTAATAATTTTTATTAATTTTTATTAATTTTTATTAATTTTTATTAATTTTTATTAATTTTTATTAATTTTTATTAATTTTTATTAAATTTTATTCATTTTTAATAATTTTTATTAATTTTTTATTAATTTTTATTAATTTTCACCCCCGTTTTCCCCCCTTAAAATGTAAAAATTCAAAAACCCTGAAATACGTCATTAATAATTTGTAGTCAGTAGCTGCAATTCCAATTTTCATGTTTCCAACTTCATAGAGAACAAAAAAATCGATAGTCCCTTACAAACTTTCACCCCCCGTTTTCCCCCCTTAAAATGTAAACAATCCAAAAACCCTGAAACACGTCATTACTTATTTTTGCCCAGCAATTGTAATTTAAATTTTCATGTTTCTAACTTTAAAGAACAAAGAGTTTCATTAAAAGCTCCCTCCCCCCATTTCCTCAAATTTCCCCCCTTTAAAGTTACAATTTTCAAAAATCCTTTCTTAGCGGATGCTTACGTTATAAAATAAACCTATGTTCCAAATTTCAGCTTTCTAGGCCTAGTAGTTTTGGCTGTACGCTGATAGGTCAGTCAGTCAATCAGTCAGTCAGTCAGGACAAACAATTTTATATACAGTATGGTTCAAATGAAAGGAATAAATTCATTATAATGGAAGCAGTTGGTTTTTCGAAAAAATGCTCGGACAGGTCAATTTTGTTTACTCAAAGCGCAATTTTTTAAATAGAATTCAATTTTCCCCCACTTCCCATTTTTGGGCAGTGACGTCATTGGCAATTTTTTTAAATAGTAACCCCAATTTTTTTTTCTTGATTTTGTTAGATCTTGCAATTTCCTATTCGGAAACATAATATTTGAAATATCTTACATAACATTTTTTTTTGAATAAAAGTCATTTAAAGATCAGACACATAAATTTTATTTTATTTTGAGAACACAATAAATGAATAAAAGATAATTATTCGTAATTAAGTGGTTAATTTAACAAAAAAATAATAATAATAATAATAATAATAATAATAATAAAGAATTTGTGAAATCGTCATTAAATCTTTTTATTATTATTATTATTATTATTATTTTTTTAGATGAAGCATTTAATTACAAATAATCTTTTATTCATTTATTGTGTTTCAAAATAAAATAAAATTTATGTATCTGATCTTTAAATGATTTTTATTTAAAAAAAAATGTTATGTCAGATATTACAAATATTATGTTTCCGAGTAGAAAATTGCAAGATCTAACAAAATCAAGAGAAAAAAAATTGGGGTTACTATTTAAAAAAATTGTCAATGACGTCACTGCCCAAAAATGGGAAGTGGGGGAAAATTGAATTCTATTTAAAAAATTGCGCTTTAAGTAAACAAAATTGACCTGTCCGAGCATTTTTTCGAAAAACCAACTACTTCCATTATAATGAATGTATTCCTTTCATTTGAACCATACTGTATATAGATGCAATAGCTTTATGGTGGGTATTATAGTCGCCGATACGTTCCCGCGACTTTGAGTGTTACTTGGGATATTCGTCTTCCTCTATATTTTTTGATCCCAGAATTTTTCTTGGGATTCTTCTTCTCTAATATAATATTTTGCTCAATAAAAATCCTAAATCTAAATGGCTGCAAAAAATACTGTTTTGGATAACAAATTTGATTACGTATGTTAAAGCAATCGCATTATGGGCGTATCTTTACCCCCAAAATTTGTAATAGATTTTGCACATTTAGAATTTCTATTCGTTTGCCTATCTTCATTTAGTTTTCTTTTTTTCAGGCATCTATTTCAGCAACCTGCAACATAGTAATCCATATATTGGATAAAAATGATAACGTTCCTGAATTCTTACAATCAAACTATTATGGAATAATAAGCGAATCTGCGCCGATGCAATCTTTAATACTTACTAACAAAAGTGATCCGTTGGTGATTAAAGCTTTTGATGCAGATTCCGAGGGAAATTCTTTACTAGAATATACCATAGTTGAAAATTTGCCCCGCAGATACTTTGAAATCGATAGTAACACCGGAGCAATCAGGGTTATCAGATTATTAGACCATGAAACTTACAGCAGCTTTACATTCCACGTCCAAGTTTCAGATTTAGGCAATCCCAAACTATCCTCGGATACAACAGCAAGAGTCGATATCGAAGTTATCGATGTCAACGACTCTCCACCAATATTCAGCAGTTCTGTTTACAATGTAACCATACTTTTACCATTATACCGAAATGTAGCTGTACTTCAAGTTAACGCAACAGATCCAGATGGGGCAGAAACGGGTGCCTTGAGGTACGACATTATCGAAGGAAATAAACTCGGTATATTTGATATAAATTCAAGAACTGGACTAATAACTTTATTAAAACCGGACGATTTGAAACCGTCTTATAAACTTCATGTTAGAGTATCAGATGGTAAATTTTCGAATGTAGCTAAAGTGTATATTAGAGTCGATGAATCCGATAATTCTGGATTGATTTTCCAAAAAGCTTTTTATGAAGGAACTGTGATAGAAAATTCGACGAAGATTCATCACGTTTGTGTAGTTAACGTACTTGGCAGTGCTTTAAATGAGCATGTTGAGTTTAAAATACTGAATCCTACTGATTTATTCACAATTGGACCTACATCAGGAGTCATACGAACCACTGGATTAGAATTTGACAGAGAAATTCAAGATAAATACGAACTAATAGTGGAAGCTAAAAGTAGCATGCCCCCAAGAGAACGTCCTAGAGTCGCTCACGTTATAGTTAACGTTACAGTTTTAGATATTAACGATAACTGTCCAATGTTCGTGAATTTGCCATATTATGCTGTAGTATCAGTCGACGATGAAAAGGGAAGCACAATTACTAAAGTTCACGCTATAGATCTCGATAGCGCCGAAAATGGAGAGGTTAGGTATGAACTAATTAAAGGACATGGAGAACTTTTTAAAGTACAACGAGATTCTGGTAATATTGAAATAAAACAAAATTTGGAGGGACATAACAAGGAATATGAGTTGTTGATTGCTGCTTATGATAAAGGTAATAATACTATATTTTTATTTAGTTTTAGATTTAAATGATTCTTGACTAATTTATATTATTAATAATTGTTAACGGGCGTTTAAAACAGTATTTAGGTATTGTACTAATTAATTTCTCAAGTTTTTAAAATAATTTTTTTTGGTTCAATCTCATTTTCTAGTTTCAAAA